AAAAAAAAAAAAAAAAAATACACGCAGTGGAACCACTCTCGTACAGGTGCTAAAAAAAGAAAAGAAAAAATCCCCTTTTCTTAGGGCCATTATTACAATTTGTTCCTAAGTCCACAACGGTCAAATCCCACCTGTGTTTTTATAGCCCTCTCGCAGATTTTCCGATGGACAAATTTGGTTGCAACATAGGTATAGAATTGGGGAGAAAATCAGCCACCTCTTTATTTTTCGTTTCACATTTCCTTATTTTTTAATTAATATTTTGTACTTTATTTTTTTTTTTTTTTGTGCTTTTTTCGCGACAAGTGCTTTCCCCCTATGTGTTCTATCAACTAGCGCTCTCCCTTGGCGTGCTCTAGGGATGCCATGTTCGATTTGCCCCAACGAGAAAAAATTTTGGCGCTATTTTGAACAAAGTGTACTAAAAAGGAAAAAAAAAAAGTGAACATTTATTTTCGCCTCGTGCATATTCAGTTGTACCTACCGCTTGCATGGGTGAAGTCTTATTTTAACCCGTTCACACTGCTCCCTCACACAGAGCAGCGCACTGTACTTCACGTCTGAACCAAGGAAAGAACCCACCGCAGCATAACTGCCGAATAACATCCGCTACCAAGTGACCCCTAAGAGAAAACTAAAATGATAATAAACAAATTTGCACTTCTGTTTTTCTGCGTCCTAAGGTGCCTAAGCACGAACGAAGAAAGTAAACAAATAATCATCCTGAACGATGAAATAACAACCATTAAAAGTCCTATACACTGCATCAGCGACATTTATTTCGTGTTCCGAAATGAATTATACAAAACCTGCGTGCAGCATGTCACCCAGGGAAAGACAGAGATACATGTCCTCGTGCAAAAACAAGTCAATAGCACATGGGAAACGCAACAGAAGCTGTTAGAACATAAAAGATGGTTTCAACTGCCAGCCGTGTTCAGTTTCGTACAGGACAATGAAATTATTATTATCGTGTGCAAATATAAAGGTATCACCAGTAGAGAAGGAACCACATGTGAACGATGGAACAGCAGCACCGGCACAAATTACACTAAGGAGCTTGTTAACATTGAGCAAGAAACATTTGAAAAGCAAAATTTGGACTCATACGCAGCAGATCCTCTAACAGTTAAAGATAAAAAAATGCTTCACATTTGCGGTATGCGCTCCTATGAGTTCCAAAATGAGGACAAGGACAGTTTCATTTCTTGTGTGGCCAGTGAAGACAAGGGAAAGACCTGGCGGTAAGTTTACTCCAAAAGGGAAAAATAAAAAAAAAAAGAGAGAGGCAACCATTTGTGCGCGCGTCGATTGAAAAGGCCACACAAACACATGTCTATGCTAACACCCACCTGCTCTCTTCCCCCCTCCCAGAACCAAAATAATAATACTGTACGAACAATTCAAAAAAAGAGTGGCCTACTTCTACCTGCGACCCCTGGTGTTTGCCGACGAGTTCGGGTTCTACTGCTACTCCCGAGTAAGCACCAACGACACAGACCGGGGAGGAAAATATATGAAGTGTACCCAAGAGGCCACGTACGAAAAAAATAAGGAATATAAGTTCAGATGCGAAGATGTCAATCTCATTAAACAGGACAAGTCACTGCAAAATGTTACTAAGCTAAACGGATACTACATAACCAGCTACGCGAAGAAAAACAACTTCAATGAATGCTACCTATACTACACAGAGAGTAACGCCATAGTTGTGAAACCCACAGTGCACAACGTCGACCTGAACGGATGCTACGGAGGCTCCTTTGTAAAAGTGAATGAGGGCAAGGTGCTCTTCATTTATTCCACTGGCTATGGAATTCAGAACATACACACGCTGAATTATACAAGGTATGACTGATCGAGGCCACATCCTGGTGGGGAGTCCACGAAAGACAACAGGGCAAACTCTCCCTCACACAAAACGGCCACCCCCTATTTGTCGCGTTTGTCACGGAGACACCATTCCCCACTGTTTGTGAGCTCCTCAACAAAGGAAAGCAGACGCACACAAGTGTAACATGTACGCTGACGTTAATTGTTTTTTTTTTAAATTGTAAGGACAAACATGCGTGTGCACTGTATACACATGAGGACCTTGCACTTCCAATAGTCCGACTCCATGTCATGTGTGATCAGCTAATGCAAAACTGTGTCTTACGCATGTCTTTTTTTTGTGTGTGCACTTTGTTGAGCATTTCATTGTTATGAATTTCTTCCGCTTCGACTTTCCTGTCACAACGCATATAAACAAAAAAAAAAAAAAAAAAAAAATGAAGCAAACGGTGAGAACGGGCGAATGGGATCTTCGTAACTGCCCTTCCAGAGCAGTTCCTCCCCTGACCAGACCTACACGGACGATGGGCCATTGTACAAAAATGTCCTCATGATAATACTTAAAAAAAATGTTTTTTTTTTTCTGCAGTAATTTTTAATCACAAAAATGTCATTAAGGGACAGGGAAAAGTTGAATCATGTAAAAAAAAAAAAAAATAAATGAGCCACGAATGGCAAAAAAGCAAACTCCAAAAGTTCGGTTTAAACAAAAAATACTACTAAAGAACTTATTTGCTCAAATGAAGGAGACCTCTTTGAGCAGGTTCCGAATGGATCACACATGAAACACACACACGCAGGGAAGGATAAAACAAAACAGTGTTAAATAATTATGAATAAATGGTAATATCAAATAGTACAATGTACTTGTACCTCAGCCGCGTCCTAACAACCGGCTCAAACAAATCGCATGTGTTTTTTGTTCCCGGAACACACAACTGGTTCTACGACTACAGGTATCTTGCTTTTGCACTGTTCCTTTGGCTCCTTCTTTTTTTTTTCTTCTTCCTCGTCTTCTGAATCCGACTCATTAAATATACCAAAGTCCAAATGTTCGTTCTCGTTTATGTCGAGGTCTAAGATTCCGTTGCGTTCAGCCTGGAGAGTACAAAAAGAAAAAGTCAAGTGTGGGTGTGTAAAAGTCAGCGTATATATGTACAAATAAGGCATGCTTTTTTTAAGCGGCATGGTGGCGCCCATGCGCAGTAGCGCGTAAAACCCCATGTTTGGTATACACGCCCCGTTTGTATGCTTTACCTGCATCTTCCGAAAACAGTATGTGTAAAGATACAAATACACGAAAACCGTTACAACAAAAATTGCTATTTTCATGTCCATAGCGACCATGCTCAGGGACGATGGCATCTTAATGCCGTGCAGCCACCTAGAAGACACCCTCGAAATGAATCTGTATGGCATTGTCTCAACGGGTTCAATAAATATGTACCTTTAGTATAGGTTTAATATGGGTCTTTTTTTGTTCCCTTGGGGGCAGACGGCTGCCACTGCCTTCCCAGTGAAGCCTCCTGACGCTGCAAGTGAGCCCAAGTGAACCGCGCGCAAACAAAAAATAATGCAGCGCAAAAAAAAAAAAAAAAGGTACAATATGGAAAGGGAAAAACAATTGTGTTAACGCAAATTATGTGCTCACTGCCTTTTTTGTTGTTTTTTTTTTTTTTAAACGCGGAGCGTAAAAAAAAAAATAACAGAAATTAATATCCTCTGTAGGCTGTACCAAAGTACAAGGTTAACAAATGGAGTACGTCCTACGTCTGTTTTAAACTATATTTGGGTTTCAAGTCTCAATGAGAAAAAAATTGAGGATGCAAATAAAAAAAAAAAAAGGAAGAACAATGTATGTCGATTTAAAAAAAAAGGGTGGTTCAAACAAGTACTAATTTGTATCAACCTTTGTACGTAAATATTCTTCGCAAGCCGTTTTTTTTTTTTTTTTTTTTTTTTTTTTTTTTTTTTTTTACCGTTTATGCATCCCAGTATAGCGGCAACAGTAGCTTTTATATAATCAGGCCGCAAGAATAGACTACCGGCGGGGCAAGCGATATGACACTCAATGAGCGAAAAATAAATTTACTAAAACATGCAAGCGTATAAATATAATACCATGCAATGACACAAATTAAAAAAAAAAAAAAATATAATAATGATATTAAAATAACGTACATATGTATATATATATATATATTTTTTAAACAAACTAGTTTTTGTAGGCCCCATGGTTGGACTTTCACACTACCACTTGACGCGCGGTACTGCTTGGTCCAAGAAAAAAAAAAAGTCTCACTTCTAAATATTTGGGTATATGATAATATATGCATATGGTTATATGCTCTGTACAAATAGCATGTTATATGTAGACCCGTTGTCCAGCCATTTGCTTTGTTGCTGATCGCGATGCGCGTGCCCGGGTTAGTGGGTGGCATCATTCAAAGTCCTACATTAACGCGTTGAGCTGATTCCGCCTCCACCGCGCCTTCAATTTTTTATGCACTTAGATTAAATCTAAAAAGATGAACGTGACAACTTTTTTTTTTTTTTTTTTTTTTTTTTTTTTTTTTTTTTTTTTTTAAAAAAAAACTTTTTTTTTTTTTTTTTTTTTTTTTTTTTTTTTTTTTAACGTAGTATGCATAATAGCCATTTTTATATTATTATAGATTATACCACAGAGAACAAATGCAAATAAAATTACAAACGTAATTTAACATGCATATGCTTCATCATGTTATATGTAGACCCGTTGTCCAGCCATTTGCTTTGTTGCTGATCGCGATGCGCGTGCCCGGGTTAGTGGGTGGCATCATTCAAAGTCCTACATTAACGCGTTGAGCTGATTCCGCCTCCACCGCGCCTTCAATTTTTTATGCACTTAGATTAAATCTAAAAAGATGAACGTGACAACTTTTTTTTTTTTTTTTTTTTTTTTTTTTTTTTTTAACGTAGTATGCATAATAGCCATTTTTATATTATTATAGATTATACCACAGAGAACAAATGCAAATAAAATTACAAACGTAATTTAACATGCATATGCTTCATGAGCAAGCATATTTCTGAGTTAAGAGAACACGAAAAAAAAAAAATTCAGTGGCCGCGTCCCAGTTAAACTAACAGTACCTCGCATCACTCCGTAACAAATAATAATCTGCCCACCCCATTCTTCCAGCTCACAAAAGTAAGTTGCCGGTGCGTATGAATTAATGCGAGGTATACCTGTAAGGAGACTCTCTGTCCCAGGCAGACCTGACTTTACCTATTTTAAACTTCCGCATAATATGCCACAATTAGGAGAGACAAAAAAAAAAAAAAAAATGTACGGTGCGACATTTGCACCCTAATAGCGCGCCGCGTGCAATGTGGACTTCGTCAGGGGATCAATTTTGAGGAAAAACGCAACACGCACAGAAAGAAAAAAAAAGAAAATGAACAAATAAAATATTCCTGTTCTGTGACTCTTCATTACTACCTCATTAGTATTGTCCCTGTGGCACATTTTTTTTTTTTTTTTTTGTGTTTGCGCACCGTCTCAATCATTATTACCCGAATGGGCAAGTTAAAGGAACCCGAGATGGAAAAACTGTTCGCTACTAACTATGTTGCAACGGTGGAGGAAGCCTCCTAAACTGTGTCCGTGCATTGTGCCGTTCTTTACCTTTTCGCTGGAAGGTCAAACGTAACTTAGCGCACACAGCATTGCCCCCATTCGCAAAAAAAAAAAAAAAAAAAAAAAAGTCACAACACGGAGCAGCATTTCCATTCGCGAAATAAACCGGAGGAAAGGAGTCTAAAGGGGCACGGCACACTAAGGCCATATAAAAAAGGAATAAACACACGCATGCACGTGGCGCCATATATGTACACATGCCTAATGTTTTGTCTACCCATGTGCGATTGTAAGTGCTGTGTCGCACCTACCACATTTGCACAAACATGTCTTCCACTGGAAGCTGAAAGTGTATTTACTTTATATTCGTACCGTTGTAATGACTGCTGGGTTGGAAGTTCCCCCGTCAAATTGCAAATTACTCATTACAGGGGTAGTTTACACAATTAGCGGTGGGAGTAACCTTAGGCTACGAAGGAAATGTGCCGCATTCACACGTGGAATAAGGCACCGTAAGCCCTTGCTGTTTATTTATCCTCTCGGCTTAAAGCTAACTAGCATAAAAGGTTTCAAGTACAATGCAGGGGTAACATGGCCCCGCCCCTCCCGTCAGTGGACACTTGCGCATGACTATGGATTCACATGACACGTAACAGAATGGCATGTACATATATGTATACATAAATGTATAACACCCGCTGGGCGTACACTTCCCTATACGTAATGAAGAGTTTGTGTTAGAAAAAAAAAAGCAACGCAAATTATGCTCATGCTCCCTAAGAGGAAGAGGCAAAAAAAAAGAAAAAAAAAAAAGGCAATGAAGCGTGCAGCCGTTTGTTAAAGCTCAACAGTTATAATATAACAAATGGGTGGAAACAACATGCATGAGGGGTACACAAAGCGCGGGCACAGAAAACACAACTACGCAAGGCAGAAAAACGGGTGCAAATTTTTACTACAACATGAGGCAAAGGTTTACAACTAGCCAGAACAACCTAAATATATACACAATTGGAAGGACCCGAATGCGGAAAGGGATTACAAGAATCCGCACCTGCGTATCGCACATGCAAGTATAAATATGAAGAGGCGCCGGGAGTGGAACACAGTATAAAGCGAGGCTACCTGACGGGCAATGGTACATGAATATACCAGCAGCCATAAAAGGTGTGAAAAATACGAGTGCGCGACCGTGTAATGTGCGCATACGTGCGTATAGGCCCATGTGCATAATAAATATAAAAACACGTAAACATGAACACCAATACACGCAAGGTATGCGCGCCATACACAAGTCTTGCTGGGGAAGGTAAAAAGTGTTCCTGTGCACATGTAATTATTTTTGTACCTCCCTTTTTACTTCAAATGTTTTTGCGCACTAATGACAATTTTTTTTTTTTTTTTTTATTTCCTAAACAAGCGATTCCCTACGTATGCACCTTGTGCGTATGTAAAAATAAAGCAAACGTATTTATATATGTATACATGTAAAAATGTATTTGTATACACTTTTTTTTTT